GTTGTGTCATCTGCATAACGCAGATTGTTGATGATTCTTCCTCCAATCCTGATGCCACATTTCTCCTCATAGAGCCCAGCCTCCCAAATAACCTGTTCTGCATAAAGATTGAAAAGGTGTGGAGACAGGATACAGCCCTGGCATACACCCTTCCCAATTTCCCAGTGTTTCCTTGCTCTGTTCTGACGACTCCCTCTTGGTCCAAGTATAGGTTTCGCATAAGCACAATCAAGTGTTCTGGGATTCCCATTCTTTTCAGAGTTAGCCACAGTTTGTTATGATCCACACAGTCAAATGCCTTTGCATAATCAGTGAAACAAAGATAGACATTAACAGTGTACATGAATGAAACACAATTGGAAAGAAAAGGGGAAAATGAGATACTGAGAAATTTCTCACAGTTAACTCACATGGAAGAATAGCATAGTCAGGAGAAGAGTTTGGAGTGTCCTCAGATAACTGAGTGAAAATAGGACTTCTTTGCATTCTCTGAGTACTCAGAGGTAGAAAATGGTCCATGTTTAGGGACCTATGGAATCAGTGTATTTCTCTCAGTTGTGCTGAGCAGGGTCATTTCCAAGACTAAAGCAGTATGTGAGGTCACTGGACTGCAAGGATAAAGCCGAGACTTGGGAAAATGTTAAGCTATATGATGGATGGGATGGCCTTGGACTCAGTACTGCTAGACACTATGTCTGAGGCCATCTATGCCATATTTACTCTTGTCGCTGGATATAAGTCCTTGTACTGAAAACCAGAAGTCATTTTTGGATAATGATTTTTTTAAATAAAACTAGTAGCTTTGGGGATGTAGTCAGTAGGGAGTTGTACTACCAATATCAGTAGCAGTTTGAATCTACTAGGTGTTCCTTTGGGAGAAACATGAGAATTCTCCTATGTGATTTACAACCTCTGAAAACCCACTTGAGGGTCAATTGTGCATCAGTTCTGACTCCTTAGCAGTGGGAAGATGAGAGCAGTTTAGGGTTTCTGAGTTGTGGTCAACTTGACAGAACTTAACAGCAGTATCAGTTTATTACCAAAACTAACTAGATGTTTAAGGAAAACAACACTCTGTGAAAAGGCCTCATATTTTAATAAACAGAAACATTAACACATGATAATATGAATACATATAGAAAATACATGGAAATTAGAGAAAAGAATTATGTTTATAAATAAGAGATATTGTTAAAAATGGTGTTGTGTACTGTAGAGTCAGAACCTACCCATAGCCAATCCTCTAGCTGGTTTTCAGAGGCAGTTAATTGTATGAGAAGAGACTCCCCATCCTTCTCCCGCAGAGCAGTTGGTGGCCTTGAACCATGTGCCTTTAGGATTGCAGTGCAGCTTCTTGTGCCACTTGAGCCTAAAAAAAATGGGGGGGGGGGGTAATTAGCGCTAAAAATAGAGCCTGTGGTGATGAATGAGTAAGTTTAAGCTGCTCTGAAAGAATTGAAAAAAAACAAGGCCCCAGGAATTGGTGGCATACCGATTGACGTATTTCAGTGAACACATGCTGCCCTGGATGTGCTCACCAAGTTGTGCCAAGAAATCTGGAGGACAGCTACCTGGCTCTCTGACTGGAAGAGATCTATATTTGTTCCCATTCCAAAGAAAAGTGAACCGACAGAGTGTGGAAATTGTCGAACGGTATCATTGATATCCCATGCAAGCAAGATTCTGCTGAAGAGTATCCAAAAATGACTGGAACAGTACATCAACAGAGAACTGTCTGAAGTGCAGGCTGGATTTAGAAGAGGCCGTGGCACTAGGGATATTATGGCTACTTCCAGATGGATCTTGGCTGAAAACAAAGAGTATCAGAGGAATGTCTATCTGTGTTTCATTGACTATACAAAGGCATTTGACTGTGTGGATTACAACAAACTGTGGCTGACTCTGAGAAGAATGGGAATCCCAGAACACTTGATTGTACTTATGTGAAACTTATACCTGGACCAAGAGGCAGTTGTCAGAACAGAGCAAGGAAACACTGCATGGTTCAAAATGGGGAAGGGTGTTTGTCTCAATTTATATGCAGAACATATTATCCAAGAGGCTGGGCTCTATGAGGAGAAGTGTGGCATGAAGATTGGAGGTAGACTCATCAAAAATCTGCATTATGCAGATGACATAACTCTGCTTGGTGAAATGGAGGAGGAACTGAAGCACTTGCTGCAGAAGGTCAAAGACTGCAGCCTTCAAAATGGATTGATGTTCAATGTCAAGAAAACAAAGATTCTCACCACTGTGCTGATTGGCAGCATCATGATTGATGATGAAGAAATTGAGATTGTTGACAGCTTGTTTGCTTGGCTCTACAGTCAACACTCTTGGTACCAGCAGCCAGGAAATTAAAAGATGAATTGCATTGGGAAAGTCTGCTGTCAGAGACCTCTCCAAAGTACTGAAGAGCAACAATATCAGTCTGGAGACTAAGGTATGTCTGATACAGGCCATGTTGCAAGGCGGGATCAGTCCTTGAAGAGGGATGTCATGCTTGGGAGGGTGGAAGGACAGCACAGGAGAGGAAGACCCTCAATGAGCTGGATTGATTTAGTCCCTAGGGTAATGGGATGGGCATGTCAGAGATAATAAGATTGGTAAGGGATAGAGCAGGGTTTAGGGCTGTTGCGCATAGGGTTGCTATGAGTCGCAAGCAACTAGATGGCACATAACAACAATAGGCTAAATAGTGAAATAGTCCCAAGTGTATGTAGAAATTTTAGAATTGGTGAATGTTTTCACTTGTATATTTTTTACCACAATGAAAAGAAAAAATGTGAAAGAAAAATACCAGCTTTGTTTGTCAATGCTTCCTTGTTAAGTCTGTGCTTTTTCCCTAGCCATTTCCGTAATTCCACACAGCAGCTTTTTTAGACCGTAACCTCTCTTTAAAATATACTCTTTTTCAAATTATTTGGTTATATTATCAAGAGGAGCAAGTCCTTGGAAAAGATACCATACTTGAAAAAGTAGAGGGTCAACTAAAGAGTGGAAGACCCTTAACAAGATGAACGGACACAATGACTGCAACAGTGTGCTTACGTACAGTGGAGATTGTGAGGATTTCACGGTTTCATGCAGTTTCCATCTGTTGATCATGCTATGTACCGTTGAGTTGACTGAGACTCACATGATGCTATACCCAACAGGTCTGAACCTTGCTTTATTGTGTACCATCTTCATCATCTCCGATATACTTAAGCTCATCGTTATAGTCACTGCGTCAATCCATCTTTTTGAGGGTCTTCCTCTCTTATGCTAACCCTCCACTTTTCCAAACATGATGTGTTTCTCCAAGGACTGGCCTCTCCTAATATATTCAAAGTGTGTCAGATTAAGTTTCACGAGCCTTGGTCCCCCATGAGTGCCCTGGTTTCATTTTCTTCAAGACAAATTTGTTTGTTCAGTGGGCTATTTAGTACTCTCTTCTAGCACCATAACTCAAAGGCATTGACTCTTCTGTCATCCTTATCCATTATCCAACTTTCAGATGCAGGTAACCTAAAAGGCCATGACTTCTATCAGGCACACCTTAGTCTTTAAGCTGGCATCTTTGCTTTTTAGCACTTTGGAGAGGGTCTTGTATCAAGTGGAATTGACTCAATGGCATCTAACTACAATAGTATATATCCTGCTATTCCTTCTATTCTCTTATCTACATAAATTTCCATGTGGCTACCCTACAGATTACCTCAGGTTTATATGTACAGAACTGAACTTCTTACTCTTGGTGTGTCGGCTCTTTCTCTGGTGTTTTCAGAATTTGGGAAGAGTATGAATCACAAATGACTCGACGGCACATAACAACAACAATATGCATTACTACCTGTTAAGGATGAAACAGTTTTCATCTTTGAGTTATCCTTTCGCCTCATCATCCCTCTCTACCTCATCTCATAAGTCACTTGTTGGCTTATGAGTTCTAGTATTTTCTATATCTGTCCACTGTTCTTTCTTTTTGTATACGCATACCATCGTAACTTATAGCCCCAGGTTCCTATACCCACATTGTTGATCTTGCCTCGTTACTGCCTTTTTGTTCCCTTGTAGCCCCTTATGGCTTTTTTATACCCTAGGTAGAAAAGGCATTTATCAAGCATAAACTTTTTCTTGGTTCTGTGGCTCAATGTCATCCAAATTCTAATTTTTTTTACTTCTGCTTGGATTTTATGGTAATAGCTTTTTTGAATCTAGTTTTCTTCATGGGTGCAAAAGGACTGCAATAATTGGAAGCTTAATTTCTGCACCCTCTAATGGGTTTGCAAACTATTTTTGTGAAAAGTTGGATAGGAAATATTTTATGTTTTGAATGCCATATCACAACTACTCTGCTCTGCCTTATAGAATAAAAGCAGTCATAGATCATATGTAAACAGATGAGGGTTCCAATAAAGGTGTTCCAAACGCAAGCTACAGTTCAAGTTGAACTTGCTTTCTGACTTTTCCCAATACAATGTTAAAAGTATCTAATATAGCAGCACTTTCAGAAGAATGGAGAGGCTTTTGTTTTCCAGAGTTCCATACAAACCTTCCCTTCTGGCTTGATAGTTTGAACTGGGTCGAATGCCTGTTATTAAACCATTTTGTATACTAAGTAGGGAAAGATTCCCTAACTGATGCAAAGGTTCCATAGCCCACTTTGAAGCTATGGGGAGAACTTTTCCTAAAATCCACTGGCTGCTTGGACCAAGTAGTTAACAAAAGGAAGCCTGTAAACAATGAGAAGAACTCTGGGGAAATAGACAGTAGATAAGCATCCAAGAAAGGTCTGTTGTGTTGGATTTATGTCAGTGTATTATAGGATGTATTCCTTAAAAATGTGACAAGACTCCTTTGCTGATGTGGATTACTATTTTTTTAAGAACTTAATAATACATAATGACAAGGAAAATGTTTGGAAAATATTATGTATCTTTGTTATCATTGTTAATTAAAACTTCTAGCTCTTGAGTGATTAAATTGAAGATTTTTTTTATCAATTTTTTTATAAGGTTCACAAAAAAGATTCGGGCTTTTGGCGAGATTTTGGCTTTGGAATGACTTGTCAGTATCAATCAGATTTCTTGACCATTGGTAAGTATATGTTATATTTAAAGATGAGCTCTTACATGCTTTTGTTATTTTATAAAAAGATCTTAGATTTGAGTTTTCCTATTAACTTATTTAAAGTTCTTTGAAAAGAGGAGATTAGAGATAGAACAAAGTTTGTATTTAAAATCTTTGAATAGCAAAAATGAGGTTATAAAGAGAAAATGAAAGTATAATGTTTATTTGATACCATTTTCTTTAATAAGATCACTGCTTTTTAAAAAATACTCCTTGGATAATTATTTTGTTTCTTAAGAACAATCTTGACTTAACTTTTAAAAATGCTGTATTTATGAATTGTTATTCCTGGGTTATCGACTCCAGGGCTTTCATATATTTTATTTAGTGATGTCAAGTCATCGCTACCCAGTTGGAACTGACTCATAGCTGGCTTTCCAGTGGATTTCAGAGGCTGTAAAATTGCACATTAGGAGATTTTCCATCTTTCTCTCTCAGAGAAGGTGATGGATTCGAATCGCAGAGTTGTACATCCTTTGAATTAGCAACATGGCTCCCTACAGATGAGGCTACTAGAGCACCGTCTTTAAAATAGTTGGATCTCTGCTGGCCCAGTCCATAGAGAATTAGTTCTACCAGCTGTGGAAAGGAAGAAAGATGGGTAAGCTCCTGTAGTGATTGACAGCATCCAAAAAACTGCTAGAGGGTCAGCTATGAGTTAGTTCTGACTAGACAGCAATGAGGATTTAGAGACAAAATGCCTTTTAATTGTGTATTAAACTAAAAACCCAAGTACTGAAAATATAAGAAAAGTAGTGTCTCTTTAACTGTGGTAGAAGTTGGAGTGAGGAAGCTGAAACTCTGGCTTAGTTACCTGTTTGCCTAACCTTTATATGGTCCAAAGAATCTGGTCCAAGCTTCCTCCTTTACCCTAGTGTCAGTCTTTTCTGGCAAAAAATAAAATATCATTGTTGTTACTGTTGTTGTTATGTGCCGTCGAGTCGTTTGCGACTCATAGTGACCCTATGTACAACAGCCCTAAACCCTGTTCTATCCTGTGCCAATCTCATTGCCTCTGACACACCCATCCCGATTACCCCAGTCACTGAATCAGTCCACCTCATAGAGGGTCTTCCCCTCCTGCGCTGTCCCTCCACTCTGCCCAGCATGATGTCCCTCTCTAAAGACCTGTCTCTCCTTACAACGTGTCCAAAGTATGTCAGGCGAAGCCCCAGAATCTTTGCCTCCAAGGAGCAGCCTGGTTTAACCTTCTCTAGGATGAATCTATTTGTTTTCTTGGCAGTCCATGGTACATTCAATACTCTTCTCCAGCACCACAGCTCAAAGGCGTCAATTCTCCTTCTATCCTCCCTAGTCATTGTCCAACTCTCTGATGCATAACAAGTGATTGCAAAAACCATGGCCTGTATCAGGCGCACCTTAGTCTCCAGAGAGACACTGTTGCTCTTGAGTACTTTAGAGAGGTCCCTAACCGCAGGCTTTCCCATTGCAATACGTTTTTTGATTTCCTGGCTACTGGTGCCAAGAGTGTTGACCATGGAGCCGAGCAAACTGAAGCTGTGAACAGTCTCAATCTCTTCACCATCCATCCTGATGCTACCGATTGGTCCAGTGGTGAGAATTTTTGTCTTCTTGACATTGAGCCTCAGTCCATATTGAAGACTGCAGTCCTTGACCCTCTGCAGCAAGTGCATGAGGTCCTCCTCAGTTTCAGCGAGCAGGGTTGTGTCATCTGCATAACGCAGATTGTTGATAGATCATCCACCAATCCTAACGCCACACTTTTCCTCATAGAGCCCAGCCTCTCGGATAATCTGCTCTGCATACAGGTTGAAAAGGTATGGAGACAGGACACATCCCTGGCGTACATCCTTCCCAATTTTGAACCATGCAGTGTTGCCCTGCTCTGTTCTGACGACTGCCTCCTGGTTTCTAAGTTTCGCATTAGCACAATTAAATGTTCTGGGATTCCCATTCTTCTCAGAGTCAGCCACAGTTTGTTATGATCCACGCAGTCAAATGCCTTTGCCTAATCAATGAACCACAGATAGACATTCTTCTGGTATTCTCTGCTTTCAGCTAAGATTCATCTAACATCGGCTACAATATCCCTAGTACCACGACCCCTTCTAAACCCAGCCTGGACTTCTGGCAGTTCTCTGCTGATGTACTGTTCCAGTTGTTTTTGGATAATCTTAGTAGAATCTTGCTTGCATGTGAAATCAATAAGATTGTTCTGTATTTTCCACACTCAGTTGGGTCACCCTTCTTTGGTATAGTTTAATAATAAAACAAGCCCAGACCTGATTCTGTATTTCCTGACTTCCTGACCAACTTTCTACATCATATTGTTGTGTGGTGGTGGTGGTAGTGTACCGTCTGTTGGGTCAGAACCAGCCAATGGCTGACCCTCCAGCAGGTTTTCAGAGGCAGCAAATCACATGGGAGGTGACTGCCAATCTTTCTTCTGCAGCACATCATATTAGAAGTCATCTATCATTTCATATCATATTATATTTCTTTTTCTAATCAGCCATTTGTTTTTGAAACCTACATACTTTGTCTCCTTTTCATTGTGATATTTCAAAAGTGGAAAATTGTCTAACGACAATAAAAAGGCATTAAATGAAATTAATGCCCTTTCTTAATTATTTGCTTCAAAAATACATGTCTCAAAGCATATTTTTATACTTTTTTAAACATTGCCTTGAGTGCATGGAGTTCCTGTCTCTTTCTTTTCTTTAATTGATTTATGGGATATTATTCACAGAGTTGCACAGCTGTCACTACAGTCAAATTTAGATCATTATCACGCTAAAAAGAAACCCTGTATCCACTAGTTATCATTCCCATTTCACACCATCTCCCTTCCACTTGAAGCTGGTCAGCCACTGCTCTATTTTTTTCTATTGACTTGAGTTTTCTGGATATGTCATTTAAATGGACTCATACAGTAAGTCGTGTTCTGAATATGTTCTTTCACTTAGCATAATGTGGTACAGGGTTTCTCTATAATGTAGAATGTATCAAAACATATTTTTAAATTACCAAACAGTATTCGTTGTATGACTATACTACATTATGTTTATAAGTTGATGGACATTTGCATTGTTTATACATTTTTACTATTTTGAATACTGTTACTGTAAACATTTATGTATAAATTTTTGTGTGGGCATAAATTTTCATTTCTCTTGGTCTACTTGCCTGGGAATAGAATTGTTAAGTTACTTAAAGGAGACCTGATAATACAATAGTTAGTGCTTGGTTGCTAACCGGAAGGCAGTTTGAACTTACCTAATAGCCTTATGGAAAGATGTGGTCATCTACCTGTGTAAAGATTTGACACCTTGGAGGCCCTGCATGACAGTTCTGTGTCATGTCCTGTAGGGTTATTGTGAATGGGAACTTTGTTGGTGGCAGTGAGTTTTATAGGAACTCTGTGTTTACCTTTTTGAGGTTCTGCCACATTGTGGCCAGTTTGTATCATTTTGTATTTCCTAGCAGCAGTGAATGCATTTCATTTCACTATATCCTGACCATTATCTGGCATTTTGCATGTTGTTGTGTGCATTATTTTTCTCTTGTATGATAAGCAATTTGCAAATTTTTTTCCCCACACTCTCTGGAATTTTTCTTTGCTTTTTAAAATGCCAAAGTTTTACTTTTGACCATGAAGCAGTAGACAGAACAGAATAGGGAAACAGTGCCTGGATCAGGATCAGGGAAGGTGTGCATCAGGGATCCATCTTATCTCCATACCTTTTAAATCTATATGCAGAACAGGTTATTCAGGAGGCTGGACTTTATGAGGAAGAATGTGGCATCAGTATTGGAGGAAGACTGAACAAGCTGCGTTATGCAGATGACATAAACTTGCTTGTGGAAACTGAAGAGAACATGAGGCATTTGCTGCAAAAGGCCAAGGCTGTAGTCTTCAATATGGATTGAAGCTCAACATCAAGAAAACAAAGATTCTCATCACTGGGCCAATTGGAAGCTCATAATGGATGAAGACGATATTAAGGTGTTGATAACTTCAGCTTGCTTGATTCCACAACCAATGCTCTTGGCACCAACAGTCAGGAAATCAAAAGACTAATTGCATTGGGAAAGTCTGCCATCAGGGACCTTTCTGGAGTACTGAAGAGTAACAGTGTCAGTCTTGATGCAGGCCATAATGTTCACAATTAAAGAGCTGAACAATGACAAGAAAGATTGATGCCTTTGAGTTGTGGTCCTGGAGAAGAATATTGAACAAACCATGGACAGCCAGGAAAACAAACAGGTCTGTCCTGGAAAGGGTGAAACCAAGCTGCTCCCTGAAGGCAAGAATTTTAAATCTCTGTCTCACATACTTTGAGCATATGGCCAGGAGGAGCCAGTGCTTGAAGAGGGACATCATAGGAGGGGAAGACCCAGCATGAGATGGATTGATCCAGTGACTAGAAAAATGCGATTAGGTCTGTTGGAGACAATGAGATTGGCTCAGGATAGGGCAGGGCTCAGAGGTAAGGTACATAGGGTAGCTATGTATCATAGGTGACTCGATGACACATAAATACATCTCCTTTTCCCCTCCTTGTGATTTGAACTTTTGCTGTCTACCTATAACAGATAGGTCTGAGCTATTTGTTGCAGCCACTGCATCAGACCATTTCACTAAAGAGCTTTCTCTTTTTCACTGACCCTATCTACCTCACCAGGAATGATAGCCTTCCTCAGTGACTAACCCCTCCTGGTAACATATTCAAAGAATGTGACATAAGTCTGACCATATTTACTCCAAAGGAACATTCTGACCATGCCTCCTCCAAGACTGATATGGTGGTAGTTCTGACAGTCCACGTTGTATTCAGTACTCTTTGCCTACACTATATTTCTGTGGCATCTTCTTCGGTCTCCTTACTCCAGTTTCATGTGCATCTAGGGGTGACTGAAAATACCATGGCTTGGGTCAGGCACACCTAAGTCTTCAAAGTGACATCTTTGCTTTTTAATACATT